CAGGAATGGTTAAAGGCCATGGTCGAGGAAATGGAATCACTAAAGGAAAACCAGACTTGGGAGTTAGTTCAAAGACCAAGGAATCAAAAGGTAATATGGTGCAAATGGGTGTTCAAAAGAAAACCAGGAATACGAGGAATAGAAACTCCAAGATTCAAGGCAAGGCTAGTGGCTAAGGGTTGCTCACAAAGAGAAGGAATTGATTTCCATGAAGTATATTCACCGGTAGTTAAACATGTCTCAATAAGGGTCCTCATGTCATTAGTGGTGGAAAGAAACCTCGAACTATAGCAACTTGGCGTAAAGACAACATTCTTGCTCGGTGATTTAGAAGAGAGGATTTTCATGGAACAACCTGATGGATTTAAAGGAAACTCAAAACAGGATCAAGTATGTTTTCTGAAGAAGTCTCTATATGGTTTGAAACAATCTCCCAAACAATGGAATCTGAAGTTTGACACATTTATGATCGAGCAAAGCTTCAATAGAAGCAAATAGGATTGGTGTGTATTTCAAAAGATAAATGAAGAATCCTACATATATCTACTGATATATGTAGATGATATGCTTCTAGTTGCTAAGAACATGGAAGATATTCAAAAGGACAAAGGGCTACTGGGAAAACAATTTGAAAAAGCAAACTCACACGATGCTATACACAAACCAATCAACCGATTCTATTCATTTGTAAAGAATATGAACTACAACTCTTTTTCGTTCGAGCTTAATTCACACTAAGAACACAACTCCCCCTGAGCTTGTTCCCCCTTACAATATGAATTCTATCAGCCTAAAACCCAACACCATGTGTGCAGCGCACACCCCGTGTTACAAGGCTCCCCCTCAGATATACCTCGCACTCTCTCAGGTGCTTCTCACATCTGTTTCCCTCTTACGTATAAACCTCACATTTCTGCTCACATTTCTCTCACTTTTACCCTCTAATCCCCTTTGAGCAGTGGTCTTTCGACATCTTGAAGTCTTGGTGCAGACCTCCTTTTATATCTTCATCCACTTGTTGTTTTTCTTGCATTTTCCAATTCTTTACTTGCTCCCATGCTCTCCTTTTGCCCATACTTCTCATGCTCTCCTTTTTTTAGTCTTGCTCCCATACTTCTTCTTTTTCCCATGCAACACCCATACTCTCATGTTGTCCACATGCTCATTTTGCATTAACAATCTCCCCCTTTTTGACTTTCTACTTTTACACACTCATATTGTAAAGAGAAATTCAGAAACCATACCTCAATCTCGAGCTTATTCCTTGTGATTTCTTTTTGCTATTGAAACTCATCTTTCGCAGCAAATTCTGAATCTTCACCAGTGCTTTCTCCCGAATCGTCAGGTGCATCTCAGGGTTTCGATTCATCTTTTCTTTCTTCTTAGCTCATCCCATAAATCGTGTGACACCGGATCTAACACCGATATGAGAGGATAAACTCCTACGATCAATGACCTGCTCAGATACCAATTGAAAAAGCAAACTCACACGATGCTATACACAAACCCATCAACCGATTCTATTCATTTGTAAAGAATATGAATTACAACTCTTTTTCGTTCGAGCTTAATTCACACTAAGAACACAACTCCTCCTGAACTTGTTCCCCCTTACAACATGAATTCTATCAGCCTAAAACCCAACACCATGTGTGCAGCGTATACCCCGTGTTACAAGGCTCCCCCTCAGATATACCTCGCACTCTCTCAGGTGCTTCTTACATCTGTTTTCCCCTTACGTATAAACCTCACATTTCTGCTCACATTTATCTCACTTTTACTCTCTAATTCCCTTTGAGCAGTGGTCTTTCGATATATTGAAGTCTTGGTGCAGACCTCCTTTTATATCTTCATCCACTTGTTACTTTTCTTGCATTTTCCAATTCTTTACTTGCTCCCATGCTCTCTTTTTGCCCATGTTTCTCCCATGCTCTCCTTCTTTTAGTCTTGCTCCCATACTTCTTCTTTTTCCCTTGCAACACCCATACTCTCATGTTGTCCACATGCTCATTTTGCATTAACACAATTCAACATGAAGGATCTAGGAGAAGTTAGAAGAATCTTGGGTATAGACATTATGAGAAACAAGGAACATGGTACACTCTCATTGTCTCAGAAAGGGTATCTCTAAAAGGTCCTAAATACGTTCAATATGACAGATAGTAAGCCAGTTCAAACAGCACTAGGAGTACACTTTAAGCTCAAGAATTCTGAGATTGAAGAGCAAGCACTGGATCTGGATTCAACCCCATATCTAAGTGTCAGGGCCGTCTCACAAAATTTGGACGCCTATACATATTATAATTTTAAAATAATAAAAAATTATTAATTAATATAAAAAATAATAATAATATTTAAAAATGATAAAAACATATTTAATATAACAAAATATACAAATTAACTAAGTTAAAATTAAGTGGGACCCCTAAATTTTGGTGATAATTTATTTAATTAAAAATAGATAACGTAAGTGAGAGTTGTTACTTCTTTGTTATAACTATATTTAATAATATATATTATTAACATTTTTAAAATTAGGTGGGATTTACAAAAAAAAAAAGTGGGGCCCCCAAAATTTTGGGTCCATGTTCCATCGCACCTATTGCACACGTTAATAGACGACCCTGCTAAGTGTTGTAGGAAGCCTTATGTACTCATTGATCGGAACCAGACCAGATTTGGCGTATAGTGTAGGAATGATAAGCAGATTTATGCACAGACCAAGCAAGGATCATTTGTTAGCAGTGAAATGGATCATGAGATACATAAGAGGAAGTTTAGATTTGAAGCTCAACTACACGAAAACATGGAACTCAAGAGTAGTTGGTTACTGCGATTTTGATTTTGCTTCGGACTTGGATAGAAGAAGATCGATTACAAGCTATGTATTTACAGTTGGAGGAAATGTGGTGAGTTGAATCTCAAAGTGCGATTTGTCTTGCTAACGTCGATATCACGAAAGAACGAAGCATATCGACGTGCGTCTTAATTTCTTAAGGGATGTCATATCAGAAGGTAAAGTACAGGTATTGAAGATCGGTACACACATCAATCCAGCAGATATTCTTACAAAGACGTTGCCTGTGGAGAAGCTTAAGAAAGCTATAAATTTGTTTACGGTCACTGTAGAGTAGCAGTGATGGACACCAAGGGAGTGAGATAAATTCACAGGAATAGGAAACTTGACTCGAGCAAGGTGGAGATTGTTGAAGGTGCTCGAGGTCAAAAGAAGCCTCAGCAAGAATTAGAAGGTTCCGGTTCAAAATAAACCGAAAATCAAATTGAAAATTGATATGGAAAAATCAAAATTGGTTCAGGATTAGTTAAATGATGCGTTTAACATAGGTAGAAAAGAACGAATTGAAATTTTGTTTTGACCGTTGCTCATTTGCCGGTTAAAAGGGATATGAGTTCATCTTCTTCAGGCTAATTTTTGACTTCTTTTGTACAAGGGAGGGTGTTTTTTCGATTTCTCATATTCTTTCTAGGATTTGTAAAAAGGACGCAGAAATATAGTGAATTGCCGAGATCTCCTTTGGCCGTGAGTAGGATCGAAGTGATCCGAACGCATTAATTCCTTCGTGTCTGTGTGTGAGTGCAAATCGAACAGCCCAAACCATCGCCATTAATGATCACGAGGTCAAGCAATAAGAACAAATTTCATGAAACAAGGAGGAGAAGAAGTATATGAGAGAAGTTGTATGCCTTGGTTCAAAGGATCATCGCCAGTACTGAGCCCACCTGTGGATGGTTTCAACCATTTGTGGGAACAAAGCACTGACGCTCTCATTGATCAGATCTTGGAAGAAATGAATGCATGCCTCGTCGTCTAAATCTAACCTAAACTTCTCTTGGAGCTGCGTACGAAAATGAGCAGTGTGAATGATGAGAAATCGAATATGACGCTTTCTAAGATGGTGAAAGGAACTTACCTTGAGAATGCCCTTTTCCGGGTCTGAAGCTATATCGGGAATAGTCGAACCCGCCATCAGATGGAAGAGATTCAGTATCAGATTGCTCGATTTCCGAAGGATATTGTACGCTTCGCAACAGTAAGATTTGAACCTCGTGTAGTATTGGCTGCAACAAAAAACAGAGTGGTATTAATAGCGAGAAGGGTTTATGACGATGCGAGTGTTGATGATGCAGGTGACTGCTCAAATCAGATACATTGGCAAGCACAGATTCATCAGTAGCGTGATTTTTTTTTTTGGTTAAAGGTGCTGTTCAGTAGCGTGATTTTAGTTCAATCAGATGGCAGATTCTCAGGACGTTGGTGAGACATTAAAAAAAGTGAGTACCTTTCTGCTCCACCCATGGCTTCTACCATTTCTTTGCACAGTTTCATCGGCGGAGGGAATGGTTTAGGATCTCGTCCGAGGATAAATGCAAAATCCACGTGGAAAAGGCGGCCATCATCGGTGAGGAGGAGATTGTCCAGATGCCTGCATAAAAAAGGGTAACGTTATGGCGAAAAACCCAATCACATATCAAGCCTAATATGATTCCCCAGTCCATTTACTAAGAAATATGATGAATCTATTTAAACTTAATGGTTTACACCCTTACCTGTCTCCAACACCCAGTATATATGTGATAACAGAATATCCTGCACAACTTTTTATAAATGTATCGAGACAGGTTGCCGTTATACCAAAAGGGCCATGCTCGTCAGAATGAAATTTCTGCAGATAACTCGTTATACTTCGATTCTCAGAGAGAATCTGAATAAAGAAAACCAGACTTGTTAGGGAGTCCGTACTGGAAAACTATGTGCTAAATTCACAACTACCAATGATTTATGCATCAATAAAATACCTGAGCCAAAGATCGGGATGGTATGAATTCCAACATTCCTTCATCATGCCCGGTTGCTAATACTTTAAATGGAGTTAGACAAAGATCGAGGTTTTCCAGCTTAAGCAGCCTATCCATGAGCCAAACCATTTGGACAACCTAGAGCAATCTAAAAATTAAGTACAAGAACCGAATCAAGGAACCAAGATTTTTCTGATGCAACAACAAAGCTGATGACATACCAGTTGGTCTTGTCGAAGATCATCCCCCTTCTTAAATATAACCTTGCAACTTCCACCATTTTCTGTACGGAAAGTAAGGCGTAAAGGGTGCAGTGCACTTTTAAAGATTGATGATTCTGATGCCACGATCCCAGTTATTAGAACACCCGGGCTAAGTGGCGATCGAATAGGCTGAAAATATAAACTGAATCAATAAAAGATCGAAGAGTTCATCGAATTTATAACAAATTAATTAGTTGTGAATAACCTTTACGATGAAGTACCTCTTCGAAGTAGGTCAGTTCACTGAGTAATCCAGATAGAAGCTGCCTCAGCTTCCCGATCTTTTTCTGGGTATTTCCCCGTACATTCCTCACATCCCGCGTTATAGAACACAATTGAGCAGTCAATTCCGTCTGCCGTACCAAACTTTGCCACAATTTATATCTATCTTCTCCATGTACACCAGGAGTCAACTGTCGTACATAACAAAAATACATTGTAGAGTAGTGGAACAAATCAAATTAGATGTATAAAGTGGTTTGAATTCCTTGTCCTGAGAAGGGTTTTGCATATAAACTTAGCTGATTCATACAGACTAACTTTATTGACAAACAAAGTTCAAGTAAAAAAAAAGGAAGATCGATCTACTTGTACTATCCAATCCATCTTATCCGGAGAACATTAAGGAAACAAGACAGAAGAAAATAGGGGGAAATATCCATACCTTGATCATCTTCTCCTCGAGTAACTCATATGTGCTGTAAAATCGTTTTGCATAGACATGGTCATGAAGCTCCACAGCGACATACCAACGAAGATAGCTGGCCAGCTCAATATTCCGCAATGCTACAAATTTTAAGGGAAAAATATAAAACTGCTATTAAACTAGAAACTAATATAGAACAGAGGGAAAAAAACAATTTTACATAGAGAATTCAACACTGTATATTGTTGAAAGTTCAGCACATACACCGTTGGACAAGGAACTGAGAAAGGCGAGATCTATCAGAGCGTTCAAAACGAAGAGCCTGAACCAGTTGAAGCAAGTAACACTGGAGTTCTTCATCATCAGCTCTTTCAAGGACACTCACGGCATATGCTCGAACCTAGTAGTAGGCGAACTAAAGAATTATGAACAAGCATATCCAAGTAGAAACTTAGAATCACGGGCAGAAAGGGCACTTTTTACCTCTTCACTTTCAAATAAAGGAGATAATAGCTCCAAGGCGTCACATACATCTATCATTTCCCATTTGCTCATCAGATCGATCGCTTGCTTTGCTTCCTGCCACCATGGAGACATCATGTGATATCACAAGAATACGAATCATAAATTTATATAGACAAGTGAAATGGATGCCCACCTGAACATCACCCCATTCCACACATCGAAGAAACTTAGTGAGAGCCCTCTTTTCAGACATTAGTGAGAAACGGAACTTCCACAGGAGTTGCCTTTCATCACCGCTTAGTGATCTTGTTGGCGGGTATTTCAGAATTATTTGAATTGACCTTACAAAGCAAAAAGATGAGGAAAATATGAAAACAACGCTTCCTTGTGAGTTCAGATGCTACAATATTGCAGATCAATAGTATTAAGGAATGACAAGAATTATTTTGTCTACACAAAATCAACACTTACCTTCGTTCATTAGCACTTGGCTTGAGATCCTTGTCAATAATGCCACGATCCAAGCTCCTTGCTAACTTTAGTTGCTTGTGCTCTGAAGGATTTATCTTTCCCAGTTCTGGATCCCAAACAGTAACAAGTTCATTTGTTGAACCTATTGGGGTAGTTATGAAGAAATTGGCACCAGACTCCTAGAAATCAAAAGAAAACGGACAATTGTCTGATGATCATCTCAATAGGGGAAGACACGCCAAGTGGACATCTATGCAGTAAAAGACAGATCCACAAGCAGTGAAGGTGTCACCTGAAATACAACTCTATGTTCAAAACTGCAGAAATCAACAACCAAGTAGTGATGTGAACTGCCTTTTTTAGAGCTTTCTTGTTCCTTGATCCCATCCATGGCCTTCAGCATAAGTCGGTCCAGCCAATCAATGTGTTGGATCTGACCCATCTCATACTTATTCATGAGCTTTTCCAAACGCTCTATCTCCCCACGCTCTTGCCTTGGAACCTGTAGTGTGACGAAATTGCAGAACATAACGATCATCACCAAGAATTTAGATTTAGAATGCTACACAAACACACATAGAATTGAAATTCGAGAACAATTCAAAACCTTTCCAGGTGTAGAGGTTGGGAATGAGCCATCTGCTTCTTTCCCCTGCCAAAGCCTAAGCTTTTGCTTTCCTGTTTTCAGTTGCATTTTGCTGTTAAAAAGAAGAACGGTTGCCCCACCAATTAGTCCCTCGGCTTTCCCACGAGAAACATCCCAAACCTGATAACCAAAGAAAGTTTTGTGTCAGAGAAGAAGTACGGAAAGCGAGAATGTAAACAGAAGAAGGAAGAGGAGCATCTTTTTTTGTTTACGGTTATAGCGAGTTGCGAGTGAGCAGTTAAGTCCCGATATTTTGCACTGAGAGTGATGAGTTCATTCCAGCAATATGGTGGTCCAGAAGTTTGCAGTCTAAAAATAAGGACAGAGCTAGATGTTAGATAAATAGCTTTCACTAAAGATTAATGGACTATATCAACATCACAACACATCAGAGAAGAAGAATTCCAAGAAAGAACATAAACAAAGAAACCTTGATCTCATGGGAAGACCAAAAGGAGCACCATCGATGTGTAACGCACACTCGACGAACAGCTCTGGTTTTTGGTCATCTACGCCAGAGACAACTCCTGCCAACAAATCAAATGCAAAAAGAAAGAAACTTTTCAAGAAACCTGTCGTGAATAAAAAACAACATCAACAATCTGAACTTTTGAGCGAAAGCAAATAAAGAGAGCCCAAAAAAAACAGATTATATACAGAATCTCAGTAACGACTCGTTACTAACGAGTATAAGATGCTTAACCTCAAGAACTGAAACCCATTCACTAGAATTCGGGTCCCAATATCAAACAGACCCATTATACAGTAGTCTTGGTTCAGCAACAAGAAAATGTAACGAGCATACGAATTTCAGCAACTACATTATAGAATCGGCTACTGAATTAACGAATAAAACTGATAAAAGACGAGTCCCCAATTGTAACATTTTCCCTTTGTTTTAGCAAATTGTACCCGATTTCTTCAGTCTGTGATAAAGACTAAGTCGAATTTGATCGACTTCAAAAGAAGAAAATAACAAAACTCGACAAAAGATCAAAGCTCAAATACCGAACAACATTCCAGAATTATAAATTAAAAAAAAATACCGAGTAAACTCTGACATACCCGTACCACTCGGTTTCTTCTCGGGGAGAGTTCCTTCGAGCCTCTCGACGCGAAAAGTAACCGGTAAATTGATATCGCAGGACAAGAAAAAACGAAACTCGTTAGCTCCCATGGCGACGATTCAGGAAATCGAAATTAGGGTTTCTGTCTGAGGAGGGGGATTCGCCATTCGCTTCTCGAGCTCGAGGAGAAATTGATGGCGACTACGCTAATCAGAGGCAGAGATGTGACAGAAGATCAGAGACACTTAGCGAAGGATCAAAAGCCGCCTTCGATCCAAAGAGACAGATGAATGGAACACATTTTTTTTTGTTAGCATCATAAAATTAACGATATTTAGATAATATCTTCACTACTATTATGGAATTATTTAAACTATAACCCAAAATTGATCATTTTAAGATCGAGAAATTCATGATATTTATATTTATATGAGCTTTGTTTAATATTATGAAATTATTTAAAACTATATACACTTATTATTACTTTTTTTTATCTTTTTTGCAGGTATTTTTAAAATGTATCGACACTAGTAGACTAAAAGTGTTATGATATAAATATACTCATTAAGTAATTAATTAGTTAATTAAATCAGCATTCGGAGGTAATTATAAAATAATCAAAGATTGATAGTATGTATATGTATTAATCCAATACGTGTTACGTTACCATGAAATTGGACGATACACATTCCGTGTGTCAGTTCTTTGCGTTCCCGAAAACCAACGCATATGCATATACTCGGATGCGCTTGTACGATACAAACCAAACGTCGCCGTTTTTCGGAGAACCAATCGCCGCCACTCTTCGACTTCTCCTCTTCCCAGTGCCCACGCAAAGCTACCTACACTATCTATTGCGTATTATGGGTGTCTCTGTGTATGCATTGCCGTTTCAGAGAACCAATTGCCACTGCTCTCCGACTTCCCTTCCCATTCAAAGCTACCTACACTACATATTATGTGTGTCTATGCGTATATATCTATATATACACTCGTCTGCGCTTGTATGAGTGTATTCATATACAGTGCCTTGTATCACAAGAAAATGGCAGGAGGCAAGAAGCAATCAGCAGTTAAATCGTCCAAAGCGATGTTGAAGGATGCCAGAGAAGCATCAGATCTTGCACTTGTCGCCATTGAGGCACCGATAGTGACGTCATACAACGACCAGATCAGGCCGTTGCTTGACGCGGTCGACAGGCTGAGGAACCTCAACGTTATGAAAGAAGGGATCCAGCTTCCGACCATTGTCGTTGTCGGAGACCAATCTTCTGGGAAGTCAAGTGTTCTGGAGTCCTTGGCTGGAATCAGTTTGCCACGTGGACAAGGTATCTGTACGAGGGTTCCACTTGTCATGAGGCTTCAGCGAAGTCCGAACCCTGAGCCAGAGATTTGGTTGGAATTTGGGGGCAGAGTTATCCGTACAGATGAGCAGCATGTTGCAGATGCTATTGTCTCTGCAACTGATGAAATCGCCGGTATGTTTATTTACTCATAACATAAAGGCGCTAGTTCTCATGGTGATGACCCTTTTGTTTTACCTTCGTTCCAGGATCTGGCAAGGGAATCTCAGACACTCCATTGACTCTCCATGTCAAGAAAGCCGGTGTTCCTGATCTTACGATGATCGATCTCCCAGGAATAACTCGAGTTCCTGTTCATGGACAACCAGAAAACATCTACGAGCAAATCGCAGCAATGATAATGAAGTACATAGAGCCCTATGAATCAATCATCCTCAACGTTCTGTCAGCCACGGTGGATTTCTCTACTTGCGAATCCATTCGCATGTCCAGGAAAGTCGACCAAACAGGTGAGAGAACCTTGGCTGTCGTGACAAAGGCCGACAAGGCACCGGAAGGGCTCCTTGAGAAAGTTATGGCTGATGATGTGGGTATCGGTCTAGGTTATGTATGTGTGAGAAACCGGATAGGGGAGGAGACATATGAGGAAGCTAGGAAGCAGGAAGAGTTGCTGTTCAAGACTCATCCTCTCCTCTCCATGATCGATGACGACATTGTTGGAATCCCCGTTTTAGCTCAGAAGCTAATGCAGATCCAGGGAATGATGATAGCCCGCTGCTTGCCTGAGATCGTGAGGAGTATAAACAAGAAGATGGACAGCAGTGTTGTTGAGCTGAGTAAGCTGCCAAAGGCAGTGTTTTCTGTTGGGGAAGCTTTGTTGGCTCTCATGGGGATCATCGGCTCAGTGAAGGAGTCCCTTGTGAAGATACTTGTCCAAGGAGATTTCTCCGAGTATTTGGACGATAGAAACATGCACTGCACTGCCCGTCTTGCTGATATGTTGAGCCAATTCTCAGGTGATCTTCAGAAGCACTACCCAAATAACAGTTCTTCTGATAATGGATTCTTGATGGACGAAATCAAGGTGCTCGAGGAATGCAAATCAGTTGGATTGCCTAATTTCCTACCGAGATCGGCCTTTTTAGCTATCTTTATAAAACACATAGAGGGAATTCAGAGCAGGCCGGTGGATTTCATGAGGGAAACATGGGAATACATCGATGGCATTCTATCGTCAGTCATTTCCAAACACTCAGATAGCTTCCCCCAGATTCAGCAATCCATCAGAAGGGCGGGCCGAAATCTGATCTGCAAAATGAAGGAACGATCAGTGAACCGTGTGATAGAAATGGTGGAGACTGAGAAGCAGACGGATTATACTTGTAACCCTGAGTATATATCCTCGTGGAACAAGAACATAGCTCAACAAGGTAGCTTCATCAAATCCGTTAAGGATGGCCGTGATGCCTGCGACTTACCTGAATTCGGTACCGTGAAGATTTCGCATCTTAGGGTTCACGGTGATTTGCTGCAGCAGGCCTTTGATTTGAAGATGAGGATCACTGCTTACTGGACGATTGTCCTGCTAAGGATTGTCGACAACGTTGCTCTGCACCTGCGATTCTCGGTGATCAATTTGGTCGACAAGGAGATGGAGAAGGATATCGTTGCGGAAATGGTGGGTACCGACGGGAATGGCGAGATTCTGAGGATGCTGGTGGAATCTCCCGCGGTGGCAAGCAAAAGAGAGAAGCTGAAGAACAGTATCAAGCTTCTGAAGGAGTCGAAGGATGTATTGGCTGCCATTGTTGATCAGAACTCTGTTTAGGGAGATCGTTGAGCTTTTGGGGTTTTAGGGTTTTAAGCTTCTGATGGTTTTATGTTGTTGGGTCTTTTTCTTTATCTCTCTGTGGTAGTGAATCCACATCGTATCGTTTTCCTCCGTTTCTAATGAAAGCAACTTTGATTTGAAGAACTGTGAATTCCAGTTACGTTAGATACAAGTTTCCTTTTTTTTTTTTTTGTGGTTTTAGGGTCGCAATTATGAATTTAACATATTCATATACATACATATATATATGTTTAATTTGTGGTATATTAGAGTAATTTGTTTAGAGTTTAGATCAATTTAATTTTGGAGTTCATATGTTATTGGTTAAATTTTGTATAAGTGATCAGAAATATCTAGTCCTATGTATTAATCTAAACTTGTTTATAATTAAGATCCTGATTAGGCGTTATTTTTTCAATCGCAAATCTTCCCTTATTTTGTTCTTTAGTTTTTACCATTCTCAATGAAAATCCAAACTGCAATCGAAGTTTTTTTTTAAATAATTTGTGAAAATTTAAAACAAATAAGAGAATCATTTTCTATAGTGAAGATTTTTCATGTCTGAGTTTTGTAAAAATTGTTTTGCAACATACGATTAGCTTCTTTGTTTAAAAGAATAGAGTTTAGTTTTTATAAATAATAGGGAAAATGACATTTTCCTACATCAACTTTGCAAAATGTGACCTTTTCCTAAACGAATTTTTAATTTGACAAAAAACTACACCAAATTATCAAATGTGCCAAATTGATACACGAACTACCCAATTTAACTGCAATTTCCTACACATTCCGAAAACGGTATTAAGTGTCCGTTAACCGCTGACGTGGCACGCCACGTGGCGGCTGACGTGGCACGCCACATAGATTTTTTGCCACATCAGAATGCCACGTCATATTTTTTAAAAAATTCCAAAAAATATGAAAAAAAAATCGATTTTTTTAAAATTTAAAATAAAATAAATAAATAACAATATATATATATATATATCCAAAATTTTAGATTTATAAAAGATTTATATAATTATTTTAATCCGTATATTTGCCATATTAATCAAACAAAATTAACAAAATTTAAAAATTGTTAATTTGATGTTGGTCTAAATTGACCATTTGTTCTACGATTTTTAATATACATTAATTTTTTTTATCATATGTAAATTAGTTATCAACATCTGAAAATATTACTAAAAAAACTATTAAAAATTTCGAAACTTTGTTTACTAAAACATCCTCCCAAATGCAAATGTTTTAGTTTGGTTCGTTTTTTTTTGTTTTAAAATTCTATTCGGATTTGATCGTTGATTTTTTAGAATTCAGAATATTAGATTTTTTACTGACATTTATCGAAGTTTTGTTGCTGGAAAAAAATAAAAGAAACATCGATAGAATTACTTAGGATTACAAAAGTTAAGCCCAAGAGGTCGTGCGGGGCTCAATACGAGACTACATGGGCCCCAATTGGGCCGGCCCAAACACAAAGACTCCATAAGTTAAGCCCAAAATATCGTGCGGGGCTCAATTTGACTACATGGGCTGAATTGGGCCGGCTCAAATACGACTCCATGCGTATAACCTAAAGACCCTCTTTCTGAAGTTGGCTGAGAGATGCGGCCGGTGCAACTGGACATGCTGGCGGAGATGGAAGACCAGGGCTCGACGATGGCGATGGACGTTGACGAAGCCGATGCCATGGAGATATTCGGCGAAGGAATTTTTTCCGCGGAGAGCAAGCTCGCCGACGCCGATTTCTTCAACGCCTTCGAGGATGATTTCGACGACACCGACATCAATTGATCCGCCTCCTTTTTCCTCCTGCAAGTGATGTATCTCCATCTCTTAGGGTTTCTATTTTACTTGGGGGTATCTTTCCTTTGAGCTGCGAATGCCTATGCAAGTATCGAGGAACGGGGATGAGTGTATTTGTGATTCTTCGTTTCTGATGTTTGTTAATCTACTACAACTTATGTTCATCCATCTTCTCTGTTGATTGCGTCTATGGTGGGGTTTTTTTTGTTTTCGTTGGTACTGCTTGGAATTGGAAACTCCGAGATGCTGTTAGCTTCAAGATGAATTTGCTGGTTTTATCGAGCTTTGCCTTCTTAGCTTCAAGATGAATTTGCTGGCTCTAGTCTAAACCCTAGGAAGCTATCCAGATTCTTCTTCAATGGTTATTTGCAGATTTCCATGGAAACTTAGGGGCAATGTTATGTTTCCAAAGAGTAACAATACACACCTGGGAATTGGCTTTTGCATTATTCGAACTGGTCCCGTGTGTGGATCTCTTCATATAGTTGTACTTCTAGTTTCCAACAATAGAGACTTGGGGTTGGAGATTTGAAGTGGAGCTTAGCTATAGATGCGTGACCACGAGAAGGCTCAGGACGTGAATTACGCACACGTGAAGCTCATGAAACAGGTTGCCCAGAAATGCGTCTTTCTGGGGAAAACGCTCTTC